CTTATTCTTTATCCCAAAATCAAGCAAGCCATTTTGGCTCAAGACGGGCGCGGGGGAAAACTTCTGCAATGGAGGCGAGAGTGCGGCGTGTTGCGCCTGTGCCTCATAGGCGGTTGGTTCTCCTGCTGCTTGTCGAGGGTGAACAGGTTTCTGATTGGAGGAGTGCCATTTTGGCGCCGACTCTGCCGGAGCTCCTCGGGGCTACTCGTACGAGCAGTCTCGTCTTGCTTTTTCTTGGCTTGGACGAGACTTTTGATCTTCAATCTGTTCACCGCTCCATTCGGGCTATCCTTGCGAGCATTTCAGCTTCAGCTGCTGACGACGCGCGGCGCTTGCGGCGCCTCTATTTGGCTTAGTGCTATGACTTCGCCTTCCCCTGACTTCAGTGAGGATGCGTTGCCCTTGACGGATATTTTTAGGGGGGCGATGGACAGGTCTGCGGGCATTTTGGGTTCAGTTTCCGACATGGAATCAGACATGCCTCAGGAAACCTCTGAGGCTGAAAAAGCCTGGTACGAGGCTGGGATGCCATCGGACACAGGTGGATCTCCGGCAGGCCTCCCGCAGGAGCTTGAGGCTTCTTCGGCTGCCTCTTCCTGGGAAGTGGTTACCCCGTCTGATAAAGGGGTTCATAGAAACTTGGAGAGGACAGTGGCGGCTGCTTACCAGACTTTGGAGGTGGGTCCCGTAAAGCATGTTTGGGAGGATGACTTTTGGGGCAGCCTCTTCGCGGCTAGCCCTCCGGATGCTTCGAAGAATTTCTATGGAGCCTCTTTGAAGAGGCCGCTGCAGCCTGAGCTCCCGGAGACTCAGGTTGTACCCGCGGCGGTTAAGCCTAGGCCGGCTGAGCGAGCAGACTTGAGATTCTACGAGATGTCAGTCGTCAGGAGAACGGCTGTTACCTGGAAGCAGGTTCGCGAAGATCAGTTGGCCGAGGCTGTCGGTTCCTGGGCAGTTTTCATATCACGATGGTCTGCGGGAGTGCAGGTCAGAGATCAGATTTGCAGCTTGGATTCGGGCGAGGCTAGGCAGTCTATGGTTGCGGATGTTTTGGGGAACAAAGCCCCTTCCACATTGAGGAAGAGGCTGAGGAGCCTCTTGAAGTATGAAGTTTTTCTTCTGCAGGAGAGAGTTTCATTCCCAGCATCTGAAACTTTCCTGTATAGGTTCTTATGCCTGGAACGGGAGGGTGGTGCCAGCATGTCTTCGAGGAAGTCGATGTACGAGGCTATTGTTTTTTGCAGGTATGCTTTGGGTGTTGAGGAGTTGGACTTGAGCGTCAAGAGCAGGAGGTGCTTGGGCAGTGCATGCCATGGGGAGGTGCGGCCTAAGAATAGGGCTGCGCCTTTCACAGTGGCCGAGCTTGGCATTCTACATGATCGTTTGGAGAATGCACCTGATGCTTGGGACCGAGTCTTCTCAGGAGCAGTGCTGTTATGCACCTATACGAGGGCTCGATGGTCGGATCTCATGCACGCCGAAGGCCTAGTCAAGTCTACGACTATGACAACTCTCAAAATCTGGCATATGTTGAATGTCCGGTTGCCTACCACAAGAATATGAGGAGCAGGGTCATGCGGCACGATCTTCTGCCAATGATTGCTCCGGGCCTTGGGGTGGTGGGCCCAAACTGGGCGCGCCTGTGGAAGTTGGCAAGACAGGAGCTCGGGCTTGTGGATCCGCCGGATTTCCCGGTGATGCCAGCCCCAGATAAGAGTGGGGCTCCTACTGTGAGGCCACTGGACACCGAGGAGATGGGTCGCTGGCTGCGGTGTATCCTTACAGGGTCCAGCGCCAAGCAGGGCGAAAAGAAAATATCATCGCACAGCTGCAAGTGCACCATGTTGAGTTATGCCGCAAAGCGAGGCATAAGCATCACGGATCGCCAGCTGCTTGGTTATCACACAACTCCACATCGCATGGCTTTGACTTACTCTCGTGACTCAGCAGCTCACCCGTTGATGATTTTGGGTAAGCTGATTGGGGAGATCCGGGAGAAGAAATTTCTCCCAGATGAGACCAGGAGTGGACGCCTGGTAGGAGATGCAGATGATGTCTCTTTTGGCTACAAGGCCCCGATCGTAGTCATCAAGGACGAGGAGGTGGAGGAGCCTCCCCCTCGGGAGGCAGAGCTGAGAGCCTCCCTTCCGGAGCCTCAGGACACTCAGCACGATGAGGAAGTCGACGAGCATGTGACCACGGGCTCGTCCTCCAGTGACTCCGCTCCTGAGGTGGCAGAGGGACCTTTTAGCAGGCTGGTGGTCAGCCCGCCGGCGAACCATGACATTTGGAGGCATGAGAAATCCCGTGTAGTGCATTTTGCCCCTTCGGGATATACTAAGGTTTTCATTTGTGGCAGGTTCATTGGCCCTCTGCATAAACAGATTGAGGCCAAGGACTTGAGATGGGATTTTAACAAGTGCAGGATTTGCAACAAGTCCTTGCAGTAGCCGACCAGGGCGAATATCTCTCGAGCTGCGCGAGGAAGTGCTGTGAGCGTTTGCAGGGTATTCAGCACGATTGCACCGTACTCGCAGCATGCTTTGAATATTCCTGTCGGACTCAGGACATGCGCAGTGCAAGGGCTGGGTGCTGTGATTTAGTGCTCGGTGCGTTTGCAAGCATGGAGGGAGTGTCGATGCAACTTCTGATCATGTTTTCAATTCCTGTCGGTTCGGGCGGGGCGCAGTGCCAAGCAGGTAGCTGTATGCGTAGCTCCGAGGACGGCAGGTAGAGTCGGTAGAGGGTCTCATGTCGACTGTCATCGACAGCGATGCTGCCTTCAAGCAGAGGTGCGTCGAGTCGGCAGGGGACCAGGCCTTGCACGCCAAGTTGTGTGAACAGGGCATTAAGAATTTCAAGACCCTGGCCTTTGCAATAGGGTCGCCACAACAGCCTCCAACGGAGGCGCAGTTCGATGCTTTCAGTGTGAGGGTGTACGGTACAGACCCCACAATGGGGCAGACTGCCGTGTTGCGACACTTGCATTCTGAAGCGACGACGTTGGTAGTGCAGACATATCGCGATATGGTCACGCATGACCCTTCGGATTTTTCGCATACCAGGAAAGTCCCAGTGCCAGAGAAAAGGGCTAGGCTGGACATGCAGCGGCGGAGGCTCTCCGGGATGGAAATCTCGGGAGAGCTCGAACCTTCACACCAGCTCTTGGACCTCATAAATCAGCAATATGAGTCGGGGATCATTACCTGGGTTCCGGCATCGAAGTGCTCGAAGCGGGAAGCTGGCAACACTCTCATTGAAAATGAGATGTAACTTTATCTCAAAATGTTTACATGGAAATTTATAATTTCCACTACTTGCATCGTTGTATTTGTGAAATCACTCATCATGTCGCAGCATTGGGCTCTTGCTGGAGTGCGAAAACAAAGTTTTCTTGAGCCCCCCCTAGAGCTTTGTATTGCATTCTACAAGGTTCTGGGCTCCTATCGCAAGGCTGCCGCTAGGGCTTGTGCACGCTGGCCCCCCGCAGGGGCCGGCAGATGGCCGAGGAGGAGGGTGACAGCCTCCCTTCTCTTGGCTCCACCAAGGCTTCCTCTGAGGTCAGCCTTGTAGACGAACTCTGGTGCATCCTTGACCCCCGCGTCAGCTGCATCATTCTGGCTTGCCTCAGCCCAGCTGCTGTTGCTGCTCTCAACTCTTGCTGCCTTGATCATCGTGAGCAGTTTGAGGTTGCCCTGGCTTGGCTAGCCCTAAATCTTGTCGGTGATTTTTGCATTTTGCGTCGCCGCCTGCAGTGATTTCAACAGTTTCATCATGGACCCTTCAGGCTCTTCTTCAAGGGGTAGCCAGGAGAGCCTTGAGTCCTTGGGGAAGAGGAAAGCTAGTGTGCTTGATGACATGCTTCTAGAAGCTCATCAGTGTGTGGCCCCTCCGGCCCTTGTGCTTCCCTGGGAGACTCCTGTGATGAGTCCGGTTTCGGTGCAGCAAGCTCGCTTCCTTGTCTGCCTAAAGTCGCACCGGCCCCAGTGTGCAAGCCTGTTGATGAAGTGAGTGTGGAGGCAAGCGCCGAGGTGCCTTCATTTTCAGTGCAGTGCCTTTTTCAGAGGTTTGTTGTGAAGCCCATTGCCAAGAAGCATGTTCTTGACCTGTCCGAGCGACAATACATGATGGCTCAACGTTTTGAGCTG